CTGGCATTGAGGCACGCTGACCGCGCGCTGCGACACGACTATCCGTCGTGCCACTTTCCCGAGCTCTACGTGCTGGAGGGTGGCTACTGCGGATTCTTCAAAGAGCACCCTTTGCTTTGTGAGCCCGTCGGCTACGTTGAGATGGACGATCCTGCCTATTCTGAGCAGCGCTCTTCAGAGATATGTGGATTTCGAAAGCAATTCGCACCAAAACAGCCGTTCAACCGCCACCGCAGCTTCACTTTTGGGGAGCGTAGCTCGTCCGCGGGTGGAGCGCCAGTTCGCAGTCTGGCCAACGGTCTGGCCCACTCGATTCGAGAAGAGGACACCTCCTATGACGATTCTCCTAGCGCAGCTGTGGCCGGCGGCGTTCATGCTCGCAAGAAGCTCATGCAACCTGCGAAGGATCGCGCTCGCAGTGGAGAGCGAGCAGCTCTCACTCCCCGGGCGGGAGACATGAGCCTCTGCAGCTCGGTGGGCGACTCGTCTTTCGAAGGAGGACCGAGCGATAGCCCGTGCGCAGCAGTGCCTGCTCGCCGGCCTGCCGTTGCGGGTGGCGCTTTGCCCAAGGTGCGGCTTGGTGCCCCACGACCCTTGCAACGAGCCAGTACGGCCTCCAACGTTCTTGGCCGGTAGATCGCTGCTCCTTCTTCCCGATGCTCGATATAAGTCTCAGTGTTCTCGTCACGTCTGTTCCCATCACGTCTCGGTTTTCTAAGCGTCTCACACCTCGCACAAGACTCTGCAACAATCTTCCGGAACAGCACGCCCATCTTTATCCCTCAATCTCTCGATAAATCAACATCAAATGGTCCAACTCAATTTTTTTTTCCCGCGACACGGGGTCAGAGCTTATGCTCTTGCTTCGATTTCAGCCGTGTTCCAGCCGCAATGTGCGCCGCCTGCTATCCCCAGCGCGTTTACTACTACTCTAGTGTCACTTTGAATGACTATCTTGGTTTCCTGACCGGTTCACGATGATGCGCTTCGTCAACATGGCTTTCGATTGAGATATCGCTTGGGTCAAAA